GTAACAGTGTTATATACCATACTGTTACCATTAGTTACAGTGTTATATACCACATTATTACCATTAGTAACAGTGTTATATACCACATTATTACCATTAGTTACAGTGTTATATACCACATTATTACCATTAGTAACAGTGTTATATACCACATTGTTACCATTAGTAAAAGGACGTCAAGTAGATCAATAGGCGTCTTTACCTTACCATTAGAGCCGACGAGAAAATAGTTCTCATCTTGTCCTAACTTTTATAACATGATTGGGATTGAACATTTTTGCAATGTTCATGTCGGTACATGTATGAACGCAAATCAGCTACATCCATAATCTATGAAGCCCGCGAGCTTCATCCCAAATATGTGCGGCGTCCATACCGGTATGAGCATTGCAACAAGCTATTCAATACGCAACTTGCATTATGATCTTAATAATTTGTTTTCCTTATATTTTCGAGGTTTAAGTGCCTGTCGTCTGTGTAAACAAAATTCCTAGATCACCTTAATACCACAAAAATGTTTGCTTCTATCGGTTGTCTCACGTAAATCGAGGCGGGAGGAGCAGTTTTAAAAAGACGCTAATCGAACGGCATTCATAGCCCTATGAACGCACTTTTTCCTTGTAATGGTTATTTATGAATTTTCAGCGGAAATATAAATACAGTATAACCTGTCTAAACCGGATGTCACCGGGACAAAACCATTTGTCCGGTTTACACAGGTGTCCGGTTTATACATGGTCGGCATGTCATTTTTTTTAAATACAAAAATGTAGTGTTTTGCATACGATCGGTATACAAATGTATCAACATAAACAACAGAGAAATGAATTAATTGCAACGTTTAATTATTTACAAAATATAGAGTTTATAAAATAAATGAAGGGCGACCCAACATTCGATAGCCCAAATTTGTTTAGAATGTGTTTGCTTTAGATTGTAGCCGGCCGAAAGAAATATCAGAACCGGAATGAATAAGTTTTGTGAAACAACTCCGGTTTTCGGAATGGACAGGGTCCGGTTTATATAAGGAATATGGTGGGACCACAAATTACAACCGGTTTAGACAGGGATCCGGATTAGACAGGGGCCGGTTTTGACAGGTTATACTGTATATGGGTATGACATCAATTGCCGTCATGACCTCATCTTCATAACGTGGCGGGTATGACAACATTGACGTCGTGTCCTTACCTTTACATCACGTGGACAGGAATGGCAACATTGAGTTCCTATCCTTACCTTCACATCACCTGGACAGGAATGTCAACATTGAGGTCCTATCCTTACCTGTACATCACGTGGACAGGAATGGCAACATTGACGTCTTATCCTTACCTTTACATCACGTGGACAGGAATGGCAACATTGACGTCATGTCCTTACCTTTATATAACGTGGACATGTATGACAATATTTGACGTCATGTCCTTTTTTTATATGACATGGTCAGGTATGACAATATTGACGTCATGTCCTTTCTTTTATATGACATGGTCAGGTATGACAATATTGACGTCATGTCCTTTCTTTTATATGACATGGTCAGGTATGACAATATTGACGTCATGTCCTTTCTTTTATATGACATGGTCAGGTATGACAATATTGACGTCATGTCCTTACCTTTATATGACGTGGACATGTATGACAACATTGACGTCTTATCCTTACCTTTACATCACGTGGACAGGAATGGCAACATTGCCGTCGTGTCCTTACCTTTACATCACGTGGACATGTATGACAACATTGACGTCATGTCCTTACCTTTATATAACGTGGACAGGAATGGCAACATTGACGTCATGTCCTTACCTTTACATCACGTGGACAGGAATGGCAACATTGACGTTGTGTCCTTACCTTCATATAACGTGGACATGTATGACAACATTGAGGTCTTATCGTTACCTTTACATCACGTGGACAGGAATGGCAACATTGACGTCATGTCCTCACCTTTATATGACGTGGATATGTATGACAACATTGACGTCTTATCCTTTCCTTTACATCACGTGGACAGGAATGGCAACATTGACGTCATGTCCTTCCTTTATATAACGTGGACATGTATGACAACATTGCCGTCGTGTCCTTATTTTTATATAACGTGGACAGGAATGGCAACATTGACGTCGTGTCCTTACCTTTATATGACTTGAACAGGAATGGCAACATTGACGTCATGTCCTTACCTTTATATAACGTGGAAAGAAATGGCAACATTGACGTCGTGTCCTTACCTTTACATCACGTGGACATGTATGACAATATTAACGTCATGTCCTTAGCTTTTACATCACGTGGACAGGCATGGCAACATTCCCGTCGTGTCCTTACCTTTATACCCCCTGAACAGGAATGGCAACATTGCCGTTATGTCCTCACCTTTATATGACGTGGATATGTATGACAATATTGACGTCATGTCCTTTCCTGTATAAAACGTTGACATGTATGACAATATTAACGTCATGTCCTTAGCTTTATATGACGTGGAAAGGTATGACAACAACTGACGTCAATCCTTACCTTTGTATATTGTAGACAGGTATGATGACAATATTTACGTCATGTCCTTAGCTTTTACATCACGTGGACAGTAATGGCAACATTGACGTCCTGTCCTTACCTTTATATAAAGTGGACAGGCATTACAACATTGACGTCATGTTCTTACCTTTATATAACGGGGACAGGTATGACAATATTAACGTCATGTCCTTAGCTTTATATGACGTGGAAAGGTATGACAACAACTGACGTCAATCCTTACCTTTGTATATTGTAGACAGGTATGACAACATTCGACGTCATGTCCTTATCTTTATATGACGTGGAAAGGTATGACAACAACTGACGTCAATCCTTACCTTTGTATATTGTAGACAGGTGACGTCATGTCCTTACAGGAATGGCAGCGTTGACGTCATGTCCTTAACTTTATATGACGTGGACATGTATGACAATATTCGACGTCATGTCCTTATCTTTATATGACGTGGAAAGGTATGACAACAACTGACGTCAATCCTTACCTTTGTATATTGTAGACAGGTATGACAACCTTGACGTCAAGTTCTTACCTTTGAATATTGTAGACAGGTATGACAACCTTGACGTCAAGTTCTTACCTTTGAATATTGTAGACAGGTATGACAACATTTGACGTCATGTCCTTTCTTTTATATGACATGGTCAGGTATGACAATATTGACGTCTTATCCTTACCATTACATCACGTGGACAGTGGACAGGAATGGCAACATTGCCGTCGTGTCCTTACCTTTATAGTACGTGGATATGTATGACAACATTGACGTCATGTTCTTACCTTTATATAACGGGGACAGGTATGACAATATTAACGTCATGTCCTTAGCTTTATATGACGTGGAAAGGTATGACAACAACTGACGTCAATCCTTACCTTTGTATATTGTAGACAGGTATGACATGTCCTTACCGTTATATAACGTGGAAAGAAATGGCAACATTGACGTTATGTCCTCACCTTTATATGACGTGAACATGTATGACATTATTTGACGTCATGTCCTTACCTTTATATAACGTGGACAGGAATTACAACATTGACGTCATGTCCTTACCTTTACATCACGTGGACAGGAATGGCAACATTGACGTTATGTCCTCACCTTTATATGACGTGAACATGTATGACACTATTTGACGTCATGTCCTTACCTTTATATGACGTGGACAGGAATGGCAACATTGACGTCATGTCCTTACCTTTACATCACGTGGACAGGAATGACAACATTGACCTCATGTCCTTACCTTTATATAACATGGACTTGTATGACAATATTTACGTCATGTCCTTAGCTTTACATCACGTGGACAGGAATGGCAACATTGACGTCATGTCATTAACTTTATATGACGTGGACATGTATGACAATATTTGACGTCAAGTCCTTACCTTAACATCACGTGGACAGGAATGGCAACATTGACGTCGTGTCCTTACCTTTACATCATATATGACGTGGATATGTATGACAACATTGTCGTCTTATCCTTACCTTTACATCAAGTGGACAGGAATGGCAACATTGACGTCGTGTCCTTACCTTTATATGGCGTGGACATGTATGACAACATTTGACGTCAAGTCCTTACCTTTGTATATTGTAGACAGGTATGACATCATTTGACGTCATGCCCTTACCTTTATATGACGTGGAAAGGTATGACAACAACTGACGTCAATCCTTACCTTTGTATATTGTAGACAGGTATGACAACCTTGACGTCAAGTTCTTACCTTTGAATATTGTAGACAGGTATGACAACATTCGACGTCATGTCCTTATCTTTATATAACGTGGAAAGGAATGACAACAACTGACGTCAATCCTTACCTTTGTATATTGTAGACAGGTATGACAACATTTGACGTCATGTCCTTATTTAAATACAAGTTTGACAGGTATGATAACGTTAAACGTCAAGTCTTCATCTTTATATCAGTGGAAAGGTATGACAACAACTGACGTCAATCCTTACCTTTGTATATTGTAGACAGGTATTACATTATTTGACGTCATGTCCTTACCTTTATATAACGTTGACAGGTATGGCATTATTTGACGTCATGTCTTTACCTTTATATAACGTTGACAGATATGACATTATTTGACGTCATGTCCTTACCTTTATATAACGTTGACAGGTATTACATTATTTGATGTCATGTCCTTACCTTTATGTAACGTTGACAGGTATGACATTATTTGACGTCATGTCTTTACCTTTATATAACGTTGACAGGTATGACATTATTTGACGTCATGTCCTTACCTTTATATAACGTTGACAGGTATTACATTATTTGACGTCATGTCCTTACCTGAACGGATAGGACAGCATTTCATTTTCTATCTTTTCAATGAATGGGTGTGATAAGAATTAATATCCCGACTTTTATAAATCAGCAGATATTACAATTATTGACGTGATAATCTTACCTTTATAACTGACGGGAATAACAACAATCGGTGTCTTGTCCTTACAAGGGGCCCCTGCCAATACGTCGACAGAGGTAACATTTTTGGCGTAGATTTTTCTACCCCTCATCTCCTTATACACAATTAAGGGTTTGTGTATGTCGTTAGCGCCCTCCAGACTGGCCAGCAAACGGTTCTCCTGCCAAACCTTGACCACTGTTGGCAAACTAGTTTCGTCTAAAATGTCTTTCATCGTCTGTGGTTGGTCACTCCAGACGATCGGGAGGTTTCCGGACATGGCTCCCTGGAGCACGGAATCCGTGTCCATGGCTGTGTCCGTGGAATGCAGCGGAGATGTCTGCGGTGGGGATGTCAACATACTGCCTGATCGTCTGCCTACCCTCAGATACACACCATTTACGTGTCAGATCAATATCCCTGTACACCGTGAATCATACAGCACTACACTTCATTCATGCCACCACAAGGATATCTCATTCCAAGCCTATTTATATTTAAAGACTAACTTTTCAATGATCTCGCCTCATATTTGGCATGTTGTGATCATGTACATATTGGGGTCCGTTGATAGAGGGCCCTGTATTCGCTCTATGTGGACTCTGTATGACATGTATTGAGATTGTCAAACCTTATGTACATTCCTTTAGAAGTCCTCAGAATTTCATCCGTTCTATCGCTCCCGTTTGCATATTCAGGTTCAAGACCTTTAAAATCATATAACAGCATTGGTCACGTGAGCCGCTACGAAATGTAAATACACATCACGGGGTGAGAAACAGCTACCTCGGTCTATAGACACTACAGCGGCAGTGATCAATAGCTTACTATGCATGGGAGGTTTTTAGTAAGAAATCCGTGACTACGGGTGTATTAACTCCGTAGTAAAACCTAATTTGCTATCCCTGTTCACAGTGTTCGTAGCAGTAATAAGACACGAACAACATTCGAGTCTTAACAACGTACAATCATACAACAGAGGTATAGACGGCCCAGCGTCCCGCGACTTCAGCAAGCTACTGTTTAGTTCCAGTAGGACAAAAACGTCTCGTTCTGGCTATAAATATGGTTCTGGTACTATCTGCGGTGTCGCCCTCTTGTCACACATTAATTTGTTTGGAGCTACCTCCCAGTGAGTCTTAAAAGCATGTCGAAAATATGATCTTACGATCGCGAAGATACATAATCACTTCTTTCTTACATCGCTATGGCACATAAACCGCAATATTCTTCATAGAATAACATGCTATCTCCATCACCTATTTTTCTCCGTACGCTAATTCCTTTTAGACAATACTTTCGCCTTCGCTTGTTTTAACACTTCAGCCTACTCAGCATACAGTTTTAGTGCTCTACTGACACTTCAGGTTATTTAGCACATACTAAAATATCGAGGCCATCAGAAGTTCATACAGTTCATCTTAGAAGTCAATAGCACATAATGCGTTCATCGGCGATATAAGAATCCACAAATTTTAAAGTAAGCAATGCACGGGGTATCCACATGAAGCGTGCAGTAGAAATGCTAGTTTAAATCCGTTCAGTCAAAAAAGCTGTGTCATCCTGTGTTGACTTCTGATGTATTAGCTAACTTGATTATGCACAAATGAGTATAATTATAGTCCCATCCATCCTAGTCCTTACAACGCTTTTTAAGTACTCTGTGTAATTTCACGCTTGGGATCGTAAGATACGTCATCTCAAATGGGACGCCCCATAATGATAAAATGCCGGTGTCAGTTTTCTCACGAAAAATGCACTTCCGCCCCCGAGGTGTGACTGATAACTCCCGCCACCCTGTCGAGATGTGACGTCACGGGTCGAACCCTGAGACCTTTTGTTAATTGCTGAACATATCGTGATAAAACGTGTGTGACCTCTTCAACTATTGCCCTTCTGATTAAATGTCTGATTCTGTATCGTCAACATCAGCGGTCAATTTCAGGCTAAGAGCTATATATTCGGTATACGGTAACATAACTCAACCAACCGTTTCAAACCGCTGTCACCGAATGTCTCGTCTTAATTTAGCACTATCGGAGTTTTCCAACAACTTTCCTATGCATGAGGCGTTGTACAAACCCGGGTACACCTGGTAAGACCTCCCAACAATGTCATGTTTATTTCTCCTGTACAGTACGGCTGTCGTGTGGCGAGTCCATTATAATGGGCGGCGGATTATGTAAGGACAGTCCCTTCAATTGAAGAGGACATATGTCTCGTTACAAAATATGGTATAACACGTATTCATAAACAGCTATACGTCGCTGGTCGCGCCCACATTTAACGGACTATGTAGATTATATAAGGTTTTATTTAGGTGCGATGGCATCTCGGTACACAGACAAAAGGTGAAAAGTCCTTTACAATGTCGACGAACCAACAAAAGGTAAACCCTGACTACTGTATACTTCTATACACAGTACTATTTATGGTTTGGTTGATGGTCACCTTCGACCAATCAAATCGTGTTAACGCTCTCTACCCGAAGGTCAAGGACGTTAGAGAACGACATTTTTGCTTACCCCACCCCAGAATTACTAAACGTTATGCTGCAAATTTTCATGGCTTTTCTTTTTCTCAAATGTTGGTTGATATAGTAAAAGAGGTATTAACTTGATGTTAGATATGCATATTTTTACTTGAAACGACGGACGAGTTGCTGAAAATCATGAACCTTTGAGAGGGAAAGCAAAATTTCAGAATAGTGGTACCGAGGTCAGAATAGTGGTACCGAGGCCAGAGTAGTGATACCGAGACTAGAATAGTGATACCGAGGCCATAGTATTGATACCGATGCCATACTAGTGACACCGAGGCCATAGTAGTGATACCGAGGCCATATTTACCGAGTCACGGATAATGGCCATGGTACACAGGCTAGAATAGTGATACCGAGTCCAGGATAATGGTACACATGTCATAATAGTGATACCGAGTCCAGGCTAATGGTACACATGGCAGAATAGTGATACCGAGGCCATCTTTACCGAGTCACGGATAATGGCCATGGTACACAGGCTAGAATAGTAATACCGAGTCCAGGAAAATTGTACACATGCCATAATAGGGATACCGAGTCCAGGATAATGTTACACATGCCATAATAGGGATACCGAGTCCAGGATAATGGCACACAGGCCAGAATAGTGATACCGCGTCCAGGGCTAATGGTAAACAGGCCAGAATAGTGATACCGAGGCCATATTTCCCGAGTCACGGATAATGGCCATGGTACACAGGCTAGAATAGTGATCCCGAGTCCAGGATAATGGCACACATGCCATAATAGTGATACCTAGTCCAGGATAATGGTACCCAGGCCAGAATAGTGATACCGAGGCCATATTTCCCGAGTCACGGATAATGGCCATGGTACACAGGCTAGAATAGCGATACCGAGTCCAGGGCTAATGGTACACAGGCCAGAATAGTGATACAATATACCAAGGCCAGACCTTTTGTTCAAGTGTCATTGTTTCAGGTCTAGCACACTTAACGTCTTCCTAAAGTGTTTAAATTGTTACTTAAGCATTGAACTGTTTTTGTATGGTATTTATGATCTATTTGAATGACACAGCTTTGCAAGCAAACAACATAATGTGCGCTAGTGCATTATGATTTGTTTGCGTGCAAAGCTGTGTCATTCAAATAGATCATAAATACCATACAAAAACAGTTCAATATTTATATTTACGTTTTCTCTGCCTCTTCTGTTCTTTTTTAACTTATAATTTATATTTAAAATTAAAAATGCCCGCCTTATCGACAGTCCACACAATTTCGTTCAATAGTTTGAACAGCGTATTGTCGCGCGCTGATTGGCAAACAAAGTAGTACTTTGAAATTTTAACAAACACTTCAATTTTATTCCACAATTCAGTATCAATACAATTGCGTATGATATGTCTTTAGGGTGATTTAAGTTTATCAATAAAACTCCGAGCTGAAAGTTAGATTTTAAATTGTTTCGATTTTCCCCCGGAACAAATTTCGCGCATGGACAAATACAGTGAACACCGTAAATCCGACCTTGCCCTCCACGAGGGAGTTATTTTTGGAAGTTAATTCGAACTTTTCTCTTTGCTCATTTTGTGAAGAAT